CTGGAAGCACTGGGCTAGGTCTTTTCATTGCCAATAACAACAGCTCTCTCCCCGTAATCTCAGTCCCAAGCATCCCTATCTCAAGCATCTCTCACCAACACCCCTATCTGTCCAGCTCTATCACCCCAACTCCAGTAAACTTTTGACCCTACCGGAACCTACAATCCACGGATTTGGCCACACTTTTGCTGTCCCTCATCCCTCATGTGTCCTTACGTCTCTCCTCATGCAGCATAAATTCCAGGTCAATCACTATAGTTACTCTTTTGCATAATGCATCTATTTATTCAGCAAATCTTTGCTGAAGACCAATTATATGCCAGACTCTATTCTGGGCATATGGGACACATCAATAAACAAAACAGACAATATCTTGTCCTTGTGGAGCTTATATTTTGGTGGTAGGAGACAAACAATAAACAAATAAGTAAGTTATATAATATGCTGGAATGGTTATATAATATGCTCAATTGGGGGTAATTTTGGCCCCCCTCCCCCTCAGGGGACATTTGGCAATGTCTGGAGACATTACTAGTTGTCACAACGGGGGAAGAAGTGCTACTGGCATCTAGTTGGTAGAAGCTAAGGATGCTGCTAAACATCCTACAGCACAGAGGGCGGTCCCCAACTACAATTATCCAGCCCCAAATGTCAATAGTAACATGGTTGAGAAACTCTCTTCTAGAAGGTGTGAGTAATTTAGGGGGGAGAAAAGTAGAGCAGGGTGGAGGGATTGAAAGAGAATTTTGTGTTGGAGAGTATGATCTTTTTTTTAAAAGATTTTATTTATTTGAGAGAGAAAGAGCATGGGGGGAGGGGCAGAAGGACAAGCAGACTCCCTCCTGAGTGCAGAGCCCAAGGGAGGAGGGGGGGCTCAATCCCAGGACCCTGAGATCATGACCTGAGCCAAAATCAAGAGTCAGATGCTTGGGGCGCCTGGGTGGCTCATTTGTTAAGCGTCTGCCTTTGGCTCAGGTCAGGATCCCAGGGTCCTGGGATTGAGCCCCACATCGGGCTCAGCCGGAAGCCTGCTTCTCCCTCACCCACTCCCCCTGCTTGTGTTCCCTCTCTCTCTGTGTCTCTCTCTGTCAAATAAATAAAAAATCTTTAAAAAAAAGAAAGAGAGGGCGCCTGGGTGGCTCAGATGGTTAAGCGTCTGCCTTTGGCTCAGGTCGTGATCCCAGGGTCCTGGGATCGAGCCCCGCATCGGGTTCCCTGCTCCTTGGGAGCCTGCTTCTCCCTCTGCCTCTCTCTCTCTTTCTCTGTCTCTCATGAATAAGTAAATAAAATCTTAAAAAAAAAAAAAAAGAAAGAGATGCTTAACCGACTGAGCCGCCCAGGCGCCCCACAGAGTGTGATCTCAAGTAAGCTGGTCAGGTCTGGGTCAGCCTCATTGAGAAGGTGACATCTGAGCAAAGGTGTGGAGGAAAAGAGACAACCAACTGGGTTTCCTGTTTTTATTGAAAAAATTAAAGTACCAGGACATGTTCCCATGTAGTCTGCCTTCTCTCCAATTATTGCAGAGAAACTGTTCATGCTCCTAACAAAGGCCAAACCTGCCACTCAGGAACTCCCATTCCCTCCACGCATTCAAGGCCATCAGTCCTGCAATTCTCCCCTATTAAACAACACCACCACAACCTCCTTTGACCTTCTTTCCCCCTCCCCCACCCCACCCACCAGCTGCCATCTTATTTTTCTCCCGTCTTTGCTGCAAAGCTCCCTGAAAGAGTTGAGTATTAGCACTGTCTCCAATTTCTTTCCTCTCATTTTTCTTGAGCCAAGGAACTTCAGGCTTTTGCTCCCAAACTGCTCTTAATGTGGTCACCAGGCATTCCCTCTGAACGAAATCCAGTCAGTCTTCCATGCTCAGTTTGCTGACCTATGAACAGCGTCTGACACTGTCAGTAACACCCCTGTCTCGGTGGTCCATCTTCTGCACAAATGCTCGTCTGGTTCTCTTCCTGTCTCTCCGGCAGTCTCATTTGCTCATTCCTCCGGGTCTCCTAATCTCTATGCGAAGAAGTACCCCAGAACTAGGTCATTGGTGATCTCATCCCCCATATACTCTTCACCCAGGTTCCCCTAATGTTAACATCTGACCTAATAGTGATACCTTTATCAAACCTAACTGATGAAAACTATGAACGAAGCTACAGACTTTATTTGAATTTCACAAGGAGGGTTCCCAGGTGCCCTGACTAGTTTGGTGTTAAGACTAAAAGTCCCATACTCGAAGTCCCCTCAGTCCTGGGCAAACTACGACGGTCAGCCACGCTATTGACCATTTTTTTCTACTAATGTCCTTTTTCTGTCCCAGAATTCAACCCCGAACACCATGTTGCATTTAGTTGTCCTGTCTTCTTACTCTGTTTTAATCTGCAAAAGTTTCTGTCTTTCCTCATCTTTTATGACCTTGACACTTTTGAAGAGTACTGGTCAAGTGTTTGGTAGAATGTTCCTCAGTTTGGGCTTGCCAGATGTTTTCTCATGATTAGACTAGGCTTATGGATTTGGGGGAAAATACCCACAGATGTGAAGAAGGGCAGAAATTTGATACTTTACTCACTGCTATATATCCAGTGCCTAGGACTGAGTGCCTGGCCCACAGGCACCAAAAATGTGTTTGTTGAATGAATAAGGAAGGTGAATGGATGATTCTGTAGAAATTATTTAGTATTATTTTGAAGTTTTGAAATGTTCTTAATAGGGGCGCCTGGGTGGTTCAGTCGGTTAAGCATCTGCCTTCAGCTCAGGTCATGATCCCGGGGTCCTGGGATAGAGCCCCACATCAGGCTCCCCACTGAGTGGGGAGCCTGCTTCTCCCTCTGCCTGCCACTCCCCAGCTTGTATTTTCTCTGGCAAATAAATAAATAAAATCTTTTTTTTAAAAAGCCTCTTTTTAAAAAAATACAATGTTCTTAATATAGATAGTATCTTACCATACATATCGTTCTGAAGCTTTTTTCCCTCAACAACATGCTCTTACCCTATTACAAATAACTATAATGATTCTTCAGATGTTCATCTTTGCACATATATTGAATTTTCTCAAGAGCAGAACTAGGGAAGAATTGCTAGACCTACAGTAGACACATTTACATGTTAACAGATACTGATAAATATCCAATTCAAGTGTTTGAACGCACTTACAGTACTCTGGCAGTGTTTGAAAGTACCTGTTTTCTTCACATCTTTTTTTTTGTTTTTAAGATTTTATTTATTTATTTGACAGAGACAAAGTGAGAAAGGGAACACAGCAGAGGCAGAGGGAGAGGGAGAAACAGGCTTCCCGAGGAGCACGGAGCCCAAGACCCTGGGATCATGACCTCAGCCAAGGCAGATGCTTAACGACTGAGCCACCCAGGCGCCCCAGTTTTCCTCACATCTTGACCTCACGTGACAGCCTAAGCGCAGCGACCGCCTGAGGAATGCCTGGGTCACTCCCCGGACTACATCTCCCAGAATGCACCGCGGCCCACGGCCTACCTGGGGGGCGTGAAATGGCGTGACCAATCCCCGAGGATCTCAGGAAGGTGGTACAGCCTCCACTCCTCACCTACCGCCGGGGAGCCCAGAGCACCGGACTACCACTCCCATCAGCCACCGCGGACAGTCGGCCGACCACCATTTCAAGACGCGGCAAGGGCAGGAGAGGGCCCGGGACTGCACTTCCCGGCAGGCAGTGCTGCCCAAGGGGCGGAACTCCATTTCCCAGCAGGCTCCAGGCGGCGGGCGCCGTGGTGCCTTGTGTGGGATGTAAGCGCGGAGGTGGGCGCGGGGGACCCAGGCCAGGACTCTCCTTGGGATTTGGGGGGCATGGCCTAGGGGCGCCTTCCGGACGGACTCTAGGTGTCCGGGGGTACGGTCGTAGAGAGGGGGCGGAGCGGCCATGGAGGGTTCCCCAGCGGGGTCCTAGAGGCGGACCCCCATCGGGGCCGCGGCTCCTGGGGTTGTGGGGGACGAGGAGGCCCTTACAGCCTCGGCTGAGGGGTCTCCGACGGAAGAGGGGGAACAGATGAGCGGAGGGCCAGGGGGGCGGGGAAGCAAGAGAATGTAGGGAATAGGCGTGTAGAACCTTAGCCGAGCCTGGGAGGGGGCTCCCCAGTCGTGCCCGCCCGACCCTCCCTCCTCCGGCTCTCCCGCAGGCCGAGGCCCGCCGCCATGGGGCTGAAGGCCGCTCAGAAGACGCTGTTCCCGCTGCGCTCCATCGACGACGTGGTGCGCCTGTTTGCTGCCGAGCTGGGCCGAGAGGAACCGGACCTGGTGCTCCTATCCTTGGTACTGGGCTTCGTGGAGCATTTCCTAGCTGTCAACCGCGTCATCCCCACCAATGTGCCCGAGCTCACCTTCCAGCCCAGCCCCGCGCCCGACCCACCCGGCGGGCTTACCTACTTCCCTGTGGCCGACCTATCCATCATCGCCGCGCTGTATGCCCGCTTCACCGCCCAGATCCGTGGCGCCGTCGACTTGTCTCTCTACCCGCGAGAGGGGGGTGTCTCCAGCCGAGAACTGGTGAAGAAGGTCTCCGATGTCATCTGGAACAGCCTCAGCCGCTCCTACTTCAAGGATCGGGCCCACATCCAATCCCTCTTCAGCTTCATCACAGGTTGGAGCCTGACAGGTGGCAAAGGGGGAGAATCCTGTGTCACCTGGGAACCTTGGCCCACCTCTTCACAACACTGTATGGTGTGCAAAGCCCTTTAAGACCTGTAAGGCTTTGTGAAGTGGGGCAAGTGTTATTACCCTCTTTGCAGCTAGGGAAACTGAAGCACAGAGAAGGGAAGTGACATGCCAAAGGCACGGAATGGCAGGGCTGGGCCTGCACCTCAGTCACTTGACTCTGCCTCCTCAGCAGCCCCATCCCTGCCATTGAGCAGCTACAGGAGACCCTCAGCCCATTATGAAGCACTAAAGGCAGGAGCACATCTGGGGAGAGAGGAGCCAAAATCTGGCTACATTTGAGACACTTAAATGAAAGTGAATGGATGAGGGAGGGGCTTCGTGTCAAGGAGCTTCAGACTCAGGGCTTGCAAAGAACTTTCTTCTTTGTTCCAAGCCCAGTTGACTGGCAGTCAGGTCCTGGAGAGCCACGTTGAGAAGGAATCAGGCTGCTTCTGCGCCTAGCAGGAAAAGAGTACAGAGATAAATTAGGAGTATCTGCCAGTGGGTGTGTGAAGAAAGAGTGTTGGCCAGAGGGTCCCATTTTTGCTGTCCCTGTTATAACCTAATAGGCACAATAAAACAGTATGGTTGCAGAGAAAGAGAAGGGACAGGGTCAAAGGCTGGGTGGAGCTGTGGAAGAGCCAAGAAGGTCTTTTGCTGCAGCACGTCAAGGGGGAGGGAGAGGCTTCGAACACATAGGAGGAAAAGGATTGAGCGTTGATGGGCAGGAGCATCTAAGGTTTGGGTACAGGCTTGGAGGTGAGGGTGGGAGGGAGCATGGCCCATCACCACCTGGCCCCTTTCCCCAGGTCAGAGCTCAGAGGACCCTCTTCCATGCCCTTCCCTTCCACAGGCACTAAACTGGACAGCTCTGGTGTGGCCTTTGCCGTGGTGGGGGCCTGCCAGGCTCTGGGTCTCCGGGATGTCCACCTGGCCCTGTCTGAGGACCACGCCTGGGTAGTGTTTGGGCCCAACGGTGAACAGACAGCTGAGGTCACTTGGCATGGCAAGGGCAACGAAGATCGCAGGGGCCAGACAGTCAACGCGGGTGTGGCTGAGCGGGTATGCCCCCTCCCACTACCTTGTCCATTTCACACTCTCCTCTTCTAGCCTAAGTCACTTCCCCTCTTCCTGGCACCACCTTCCTATGCCGAGAAGGGGGAGTGCCCCTTTCCTGGCTGTCATTCCCTGGAGCGGGCACAGGTGGGGCCATCCTGAGACATCCGGTCTTGTCCTCTCCCAAGAGCTGGCTGTACCTGAAAGGATCATACATGCGCTGTGACCGAAAGATGGAGGTGGCATTTATGGTGTGTGCCATCAACCCTTCCATTGACCTGCACACCGACTCCCTGGAGCTGCTGCAGCTGCAGCAGGTGAGAGGTGCCTGTGGGACCATGGGCGGGGGCACTTTCCCTTCCTGAACTTCAGCTTCCCCTTTGGTGACAGGGGTACTCATTCTTGGCCTGGCCTTTCCCAGGGTTCTTGGGAAAGTAGAATTGAGATGTGAAAGGGCTTTGACTCCCATAAGGGGCTGGTTCCTGAATTTTGGCCCCACCCACCTGGTGGGAGGTCCCTGCTGGTATGCCACTTACATCTGCCTGCTAGACTGAGACCCTCCTCACCTCCCCCCAGCTCATATCTCTCTCCTTCGGCCCCCCCAGAAGCTGCTCTGGCTGCTATACGACCTGGGACATCTGGAAAGGTCAGTAGGGGGAAGTGGCCAGGCTGGGCCTCGGGGCTGGGGGGCAGCCTGGACTCATGACCCTTTCCTAGGTACCCCATGGCACTGGGGAACCTGGCAGATCTGGAGGAACTGGAGCCCACCCCTGGCCGGCCAGACCCACTCACCCTCTACCACAAGGTGGGGACATCCCAGGAGGGTACAGAAGGGAGGCCCAACTGTGGCTGGGGTCCCCTTGTACCTGGGGACTGGGAGGGGGCAGGTGAGGAGAGAGGAACTTTATGTGTATTGGGGGGTATTGCCCTTCCATTTCCCATTTTGTATTTAGCATATGCATGTTCAGTGTAGTCAGGGCTGTCTGAGGGATGTTCTGGGTTCCCCAGCCTGGGAGGGGTGGGGCCTGAATTTGTCCCCTCAGCCCTGCTTTTTCTGCTGCCTCTTATTGTCCTAGAGTATAACAGAGGTCACATGTGGCAGGAGCACTGAGGAGGGGTTGTTAACTTTGTGGGGGGTGGGGTAGGAGGGACATTGGGATGGGCTTAGAAGGCTTTGGTGTTTGTGTAGGAGTGTGTCAGAAAGCCAGGGAAATGGATATGCCCCGAACTTGGAGGATGGGTCCCTTCCCTTTCCTAGCCCTTGTTCTCTGGGGGTCCCTGCCCCCTGCAGCATGGCCCAGGCCTCAGCAGGGAGTTCTGCAGACCCTGGGGAGGAGCACCTGGCAGAGAAGATAGAAGGGGGTGGAGGTGAGATTGGAGGCAGGACCCGCTGGGATCTGCCTACTGCGCCTCATGGGTGTGACCCAATTGGATTTGTGCCATCCAGGGCCACTGGGGCTGCTCCCTGAGGTCCCTCTGCTCTATCCCCAGGGCATTGCCTCAGCCAAGACCTACTACCGGGATGAGCACATCTACCCCTACATGTACCTGGCTGGCTACCACTGCCGCAACCGCAATGTGCGCGAAGCCCTCCAGGCCTGGGCTGACACGGCCACTGTCATCCAGGAGTGAGGATCCCCCCACTAGGGCCTCAGGCCGGCCTTTCTTCCCATTCTACCTAATTCCCAACCACCCTCATCCAGGCGTGAGGCCTAGGTCCCCAGCCCTATCCCCTTTCCATCCAGTCCCTAGGCAGCCAAGGCCACCATCACGCAGGAGGTTGGGACCTTCTGATGAGGGCCTCACACCTTTCCCTGGTTCCCCTGGCTTCCCAGTTTCCAACCACTGACATCCAGCAGTAGAATCCGCATGCCTTGCCCCATGCCGCTCCCCTTGCTCAGACCCATCATTTCCAAGTGAAGACCCCAACCGCTCACCAGGTGTCCGGGGATCCCTGCCATGGCCCAGACCTCACAGTGCCCTACTGCTCTCACAGCTACAACTACTGCCGTGAAGACGAGGAGATCTACAAGGAGTTCTTTGAAGTAGCCAATGATGTCATCCCCAACTTGCTGAAGGAGGCAGCTAGCCTGCTGGAGGCCGGCGAGGAGCGGCCAGGGGAGCAGACCCAGGTGAAGAGCTGGAGCTGCAGCCTGTGTTCACCTTGCCCGCCCCCCCCCCACCGCCCCCAGCAGGGCTCCCCATCCCAGGACACAGGGACTGCTGTGTAGGACTGGGGGCTACTGTGCAGGACTGGGGCCTGCCGGGGGAAGGTGGTTCTGCGTGGAGAGCTACATTCTCTGCTGCAGTAGGGGGTCCCCGGCCTGGCTCTGAGGGAGCTGAGGCTATTTTAGGGGTTTCTACCCTGTGCCTTCAGGTAAAGGGGGTGGAAGCCTATCTCTCTCATGGTGCATACCCCTCATTCAGTTGAGGGGGTGGGGTGTAGGTAAGAGATGGCTTCTGCTTTCCCCCCAAGTCCTGGCTAAGGACTGGTTTTATAAAAGGAGAGGTTCTAAGCGATCTTTTCCCCTGTGCTCACCTCTTTTTTTTTTTTTTTTAATTTTATTTATTTATTTATTTGAGAGAGAGTGAGATAGAGAGAGCATGAGAGGCGGGAGGGTTAGAGGGAGAAGTAGACTCCCCGCTGAGCAGGGAGCCCGATGCGGGACTCGATCCCGGGACTCCAGGATCATGACCTGAGCTGAAGGCAGTCGCTCAACCGACTGAGCCACCCAGGCGCCGCTGTGCTCACCTCTTTTGAAGCCAGGGCTGTCTGCCTAGGCGAGGGGCTTGGACTGTGCCTTGTGATGGGGGGGGGGGGGCGTCTAACCTGCGCCCTCATTTCCTCTTGCCCAGGGGACCCAGAGCCAGGGTTCTGCCCTCCAGGACCCAGAGTGCTTCGCCCACCTGCTGCGGTTCTATGACGGCATCTGCAAGTGGGAAGAGGGCAGCCCCACCCCGGTGCTGCACGTGGGCTGGGCCACCTTCCTCGTGCAGTCCCTAGGCCGCTTCGAGGGGCAGGTGAGGGGCAGCTGTGCAGGGTGGCCTGGGGGAGGGCCAGGGGGTGATGGCAGCTGCTGAGGCAGAACCTTTGTGGTCCTGAAGAGTGTTGGCTTGTCCCCTTTGAGTGCAGATAAGACTGAGGCCCTGGGCCGTGGCGGCTGAGGCTGGTCCTGGGGTTCCAGCCACTGGCCTGCAGCCTCTCCTCCACTTTTCGTCCCTGTCCAGGTGCGGCAGAAGGTGCGCATTGTGAGCCGCGAGGCCGAGGCGGCCGAGGCCGAGGAGCTGTGGGGCGAGGAAGCCCGGGAGGGACGGCGGCGAGGCCCGCGGCGTGAGTCCAAGCCCGAGGAGCCGCCGCCGCCTAAGAAGCCGGCGCTGGACAAGGGCCCTGGCGGAGGCCAGGGGGCGATGTCGGGACCCCCTCGGAAGCCCCCAGGGACCGTCCCCGGCACTGCGCGAGGCCCTGAAGGAGGCAGCACGGCTCCGGCGCCAGCACCCGCAGCGTCGCCACCACCGGAGGGTCCGGTGCTCACTTTCCAGAGCGAGAAGATGAAGGGCATGAAGGAGCTGCTGGTGGCCACCAAGATCAACTCGAGCGCCATCAAGCTGCAGCTCACGGCGCAGTCTCAAGTGCAGATGAAGAAGCAGAAGGTGTCCACACCTAGCGACTACACTCTTTCCTTTCTCAAGCGCCAGCGCAAGGGGCTCTGAACTACCTGTCAGCCCTTGTGGTGCGGGGAGGAGGGCGCCACCCCGGTCACCCCCACTCCCCCGCCCGCCCCTCGAGCCTAAGCCCCTCCCCTGGGCCAAGGGGGCCTAAGCCCCTCCTCCAGGCCCCAGCCCAACCCGGAACCCAGGCTGCAAGTTGCTGGAGTACAGGCTACTCCAGGGCTCTGTCGGTCATTGAATTTAGGTCCCATGCCCCAGAATCCCAGCCGGCCAATGGAAACCTCATTTTGAGCGCCATCATTAATCTTTAAAGGTCCAAGCACTGGAAACAGGGCCCCACCTCAGAACCGAGGCTGTAACCTTGGGCCAGACCGGGGCTGCTCACGGTTGCTCCCGGGCCCGTGGGGCTGAGGTTTCGCCCTACACCCCGGAAGCACAGGTCCCGTCTCCAACCCGGGAACCTGGGACTCCGCTCAACCCCTGGGAGTACATACATTTTCGCACTTCAGAATTCCATCCCTTGGGAATCCAAGCCCCCTACCCCAAAGAACTTAAACTTCCAGAGTTTGGGGAAATCCTAGCTTCTTCCCTTCTCTGTCCTGTGAGTCTGGGACACGAAACGCAGTCTCCGGCCTGTGAATCCTGAGCCCCGCCCCCTTCCTGACCAAACTGGCCCCAGATCAGAGCAGACCTCTTTCCGACCTTCTGGGAACCTCCCCGAGGTCCAGCCCGTCTCAGGGGACTCCGGAGGAAATCTGCAGGGGTTTGCGAGTGGGTGAGGGGAGCCTGATCTCTTCCTGTTTTGTACATAGATTTATTTTTCAGTTCCAAGGAAGATGAATACATTTTGTAAAAAAAAAAAAAATACACGTCCGTGTTTCATCGGGGAAATTGCGGGAGAGGTGGGCAGGACGAGGGAGAGGGGCCCCCTCTTACCCCTGCCTTCTGGCCTTCGGGCTCTCCACCTGTAGGGCGCAGGGAACGGGTGGCTGGCCAAACGGCCGCTGCCGGGTCGGCTCCGCCCGGCCTCGGGGCTTCCCCTCCCCGCCGAGGGCCTGTCCCGCGGGCGCCTCCTCCCGGCCGGGCGGCGGGGCATCCCCCTCCTGGCCCCGGCCCCGCCTCCGCGGCCTCGGAGCCCCCCGCGCCCGCCCCGGCGGTCCTGCCCCGCCCCGCCCCGCCCCGCGCCGCCCCGCGCCGGCTCCGCGGCTCCTCAGCTCACGACCGCCCGCCCGCCGGCCCGCCCGGCGCCGGGCAATGGCGCTGCTGCGGGACGTGTCGCTGCAGGATCCGCGCGACCGCTTCGAGCTGCTGCAGCGTGTGGGGGCCGGGACCTATGGCGACGTCTACAAGGTGCGCCAGGCGGCCGGACGCGCGGGAGAGCGGCGGGGAGGGTGCCGGCTCTGCGCCCTACCGCGCATCCAGCCCCCAGCCCCGCCCCTCCTCATCCTGCTTCACCTCCTCCGCCCCTGCAGGCCCGCGACACGGTCACGTCCGAACTGGCCGCGGTCAAGATAGTCAAGCTAGACCCAGGTGAGGGCCCGGGGCCAGGGCCTCTGCGCTGGAGGGAGGGCAGAGCGCGGGCGCTGAGAGTTGGCCCCCTGAGAGGAAGGCCCCAGGGTATTGTCACTTGGGATCTTTCTGGCCCGGATGTGCCCATTTTGCAGATGGGGGCACTGAGTTAGAGCAATCCCTATGCGCCCCCTCCATGATGCCCTGTGCTCCCCAGGGGACGACACCAGCTCCCTCCAGCAGGAAATCACCATCCTGCGTGAGTGCCGTCACCCCAATGTGGTGGCCTACATTGGCAGCTACCTCAGGTGAGGCTGCTTCATCCCCTTGCCTACCCCCAGGCAGCCCCCATGTGGCCCTGCCATGTGCCCACCCCAGTTCTGTGCCCCCCCCCCACCAGGAATGACCGATTGTGGATCTGCATGGAGTTCTGCGGAGGGGGGTCCCTGCAGGAGATTTACCACGGTGAGGGCCCTGCAGGACTCCAGGCCCCAGAGGGCCACAGCCTTTTCCCAACCCACCCTTCCCCAGCATGGGGCAGGAGAGGAGAGCTGAGGTCCTGGGCTTGGGCCCTTCACTCCTCACTGGCTGTGTGACCTTGAGACATTGGTGTCCTTCTCTGGGCTCTATCCCAGGCTGTGCAGGGAGGGGATGTGGCCAACACCTCTTTCACCTAGCAGTGCCTGCTGCTTCCCCTCACACAGGGTGGCCTGGGAAGGTCAGCATATCCTCCTGACCTCCATGCCAGTCTTCACCCCTTCCATTTCAGCCACCGGGCCCCTGGAGGAACGGCAGATTGCCTATGTCTGCCGAGAGGCACTGAAGGTAGCTGGGCCCGTACGGCTGTTCACACCCCCAGTCCCCAGGAGCTGTGGTTCAGGGAGCCCAGCTGGCCTGGCCAGTGTGTGCCTGTGTGTGTGTGTGTGTGTGTGTGTGTTGGGGGGGTGGAGTGCCTCAGGCAGGGCTGGCCTGAGGGGCTGTGGGTCCTGGGGGGGAAGGGGCCCCAGCCCTGTTGCCGGAAGCAGCACATTTCCCTCTTGGCTCAGTCACTTCCTGTTTGGGGAGAGGGGAGGAGGAAGCTGCTTGGGTGGGGGGCCCCAGTTGCGAGAGGGGGCTCAGGAAAGGGGAGATAGTCCTGGGTGGCTGTTCTGAGGAGCTCCTCTTTGTCCCCAGGGGCTGCACCACTTACATTCTCAGGGGAAGATCCACAGAGACATCAAGGTAGGGGTCTGGCCGAGGACATCCTGGGAGGGAGGAGGAGGCTCTTGGGGGCACCAGACGGGATTCTCTCTCCTCCATTCCCACAGGGAGCCAATCTTCTCCTCACCCTCCAGGGAGATGTCAAGCTGGGTCAGTACCCCGGGGACACAATCAGGGTGAGGGTTCTGTGGGAGCTTATGGAGTCTTAGGATCTGCCTTTAAGTGCTGGGTGGCCTTGAGCAAGTCACTTTACCACTTAACCCTCAGTTTCCCCATTGAGAAAGTGGAACCGTCCTCCTTCCCTGCTAGAAGTTGGATATGGTTGGGTCTGTATGGAGTCTAACCTGGGACTACACACTTGGTCAGGGATAGAAGGTAGTTGACCCCTCCCAGAGGGGGCCCTGGCCTTGCCTTGAACGTGTGGCAGTTGTGGCTGAACCTGGGCCGCCTGCTCCCTGAACCCTTCAGGTGCATTCCGAGCCTCATCCCTGGAGGTGGGTGGGGAGTGGTAGCTAGAGGGTGGGTGGGAGCAGCTCTTTCTCCCTGCAGCTGACTTTGGGGTATCAGGTGAGCTGACGGCATCTGTGGCTAAGAGGAGGTCTTTCATTGGGACTCCATACTGGTGAGGCTGTGCCTTGGGCTGAGGGGGGAGGGGGGGCACAGGTCGGGCACCTGGCCATCCCATCTGTGACCCCTTCTCTAGGATGGCCCCAGAGGTGGCTGCCGTGGAACGCAAAGGAGGCTACAACGAGCTCTGTGACGTCTGGGCCCTGGGCATCACCGCCATCGAGCTGGGCGAGCTGCAGCCTCCTCTATTCCACCTGCACCCCATGAGGTCCGCTGAACACTTATTTGCCCCTTGCCTGACCTCCAGGGCACTGCTGACCTTGTCCCCTGACCTCGTACTCTCCACAGGGCCTTGATGCTCATGTCGAAGAGTAGCTTCCAGCCGCCCCGGCTGAGAGACAAGACTCGCTGGTGAGGGCCTACCTCCCCGACTGGGGCCTCCTTTCCAGCAGTCTCCATGGGGGTGGAGAACCTCCTGCCAACTCCCAGGGTGCGACCTGAGGAGCCCCGCACTCTCAGCCTTTGTGGACCATCTGTGGGAGGGGCCTGGGCCCAGGGACTGGTGTGGGCAGGGAGGAAGGGCAGATGCTTATGGTAGAGGAGCTGCTGCGCCCCAGCAGCAGGATTGCTTAGGCCAGCTGCCCTTGGCTTCGGTCTGGCTCCTTCTTGGAGCAGACTCCCTCCTCTGGAGCTCGCAGGATGCCCCACATGAGGGCTAACCTGGGTCTGGGGGCGGGGGTTCCTGTGCCCACTAGGACCCAGCATTTCCACCACTTCCTCAAGCTGGCCTTGACCAAGAACCCCAAGAAGAGGCCGACAGCAGAGAAGCTTCTGCAGGTGGGAGATGGGGGCAGGGCCGGAGCCTAGGTGTTTGCAAGCAGGGGCCTGGAGGCCAGGAACCAACCTGTGCCCCTCCCCCCCCAATCCTCTAGCATCCATTCACAACCCAGCACCTCCCTCGGGCTCTCCTCACACAGCTGTTGGACAAAGCCAATGACCCCCACCTGGGAACCCCCTCCCCAGAGGACTGTGACCTGGAGGTAAGTGAGGGGAGCTGAGAAATGGATCTTGGCCTGGCCAGGTGGTAAGGAATGCAGAGGTGATATGGATCAGCTTCCTTTAACTTGTATATTTCCAGCCCTGGGAGCTTTCCTCCAGGCGAGCCCACCCATTAGAAATCTTCCCTGGGCCCATCTGGCCCCCGGTACCCCTCACTTGATAAATTCCTGTGCTTGGCTTAAGCTGACCTGACCCTAGCTTAGCTTTCTTCTGGTTTCTGTGTGATCTTTGGCCAGTTATTTGCTTCTCTGTGCTGGTTTTCTCATCTTTAATCTTAAAATAATCTCAGAGTGGTTGTAAAAACAAAGTGTGGGTAAAGCACTTCCAGTGATACCTGGCGGAAGGCGAGTGCCGGGTGTGTGTCAACCGTTCGTGTTTGTGTTCTTTCCTAGACTTATGACATGTTTCCAGACACCATTCACTCCAGGGGACAGCACGGCCCGGCCGAGAGGACCCCCTCGGAGATCCAGTGTGAGTCTGCTCGGGAGGTTATGTGTGTGTGTGTGGAGGGGGGGCTATGTGTGGATTTGGTGGGGGGCTGTGTGAGTGTATCTGGTGGGGGACAGTGCATGTGGATCTCGTGGGGGGCTGTGTATACGGACTTGGCTGGGGGGGCTGTGTGTGTGGATTTGGTCGGGGGGGGCTGTGTGTGTGGATCCGGTGGGGGCCTATGTGTGTGTATATGTGTGTGTGTGTGTGTGTGGATTCGGTGGGGGGGCGCTGTGTGTGTGGATTTGGTTGGGGGGGTGCTGTGTGTGTGGGTCTGGTGTGGGGACTGTGTGTATGGATTTGGTGGAGGGGGCTATGTGTGTGGATTTGGTTGGGGGGGTGCTGTGTGTGTGGATCTGGTGTGGGGACGGTGTGTATGGATTTGGTGGAGGGCTGTGTGTGTGGATTTGGGGGGAGCTGCGTGTGTGGATTTGATGGGGGGCTGTGTGCGTGGATTTGGATTTGGTGGGGACTTATGTGTTTGGTTATGGTTGGGGGCTGTGTGTGTGAATTTGGTGGGGGGGTGTGGACTTGATGGGGGTGCTGAGTGTGGATTTGGGGAGAGGCTGTATATAGAGTGGGGGGCCAGTATTTGGATTTGGTGGGGGGTTGTGTGTGGATTTGGTAGGGTAGCTGTGTGGACTTGGGGGGCTATGTGTCGATTCAGGGGGCTGTGTATGTGGATTTGGTGGGGGCTGCTGTGGTGGGGGGGATCTGGTGGGAGGCTATGGCAGAAGCTGTGTGTGTCTGAATCTGGTGGAGGGGGCTAGGTGTGGGGATCTGGTGTGAGTACGGGGGTCAGTCGGAAGACCGCCTTGCTAACTCGTATACCCTGGGCCCCCCAGTTCACCAGGTGAAATTTGGCGCCCCACGCAGGAAGGAAACAGATCCACTAAATGAGCTGGTGAGGGGGCTGGTGGTGCAGGAAGGGCGGTGTGCGAGGGCGGCCTAGGGAGCTGGGCTAGAGATGGAGCGCCTCAGATCCCCGAGGCCCGGGACGCTGAAAGGGGGGAGCTCCTTCCTGGGC